CGGCCCTGCCTCAGAGTGGACGGTCGAGAGCCCAGGCTCCTGAGTGCAGACGCCTCGGTTCCGGTCTTGGCTCCGTCACGGGGGCTGGGCAGAGCAGGGCAGTTATCCGCCTCTCTGGGCTCCAGCTCCTGATCCGAGAGGGGAGCGGGGAGTAGCTCCCACCCTCCACTGCGGAGGCTCAGCACCTCCCCACACACAGCACGCTGAGACAGTGCCGGCCGGGGTGTCTAGTGCGGTCCTCAGCTGGAACTGAGCTCACACTCACACCGGGCAGGTGTGCGTGCATGCCCAAGGCCCCGAGAGGAGACCGGAGAAGGGACTGCGGTGTGGCCACCCCCTGGGGGCTGATTCCTCACTGTCTCTCTGTCTCTGTCTCTCTGGCGAGAGCACGCGCCCTATAGCAAAAATCTCTGAAAAGAAAGCCCAAGCTCCTGGGTGCTGGAAGCTGGCTCCAACGCTGGGACGTCGCGGCTGGCATGGAAACCGCCCTCTCTCTCCCATGCAGGTGGAGTTCTGCAAGTCATTCGGGGACCCGACGAAGCCCCGAGCCTGGAGCAAACACGCACAGAAACCGAGCCAGTCCAGGCAGCCTTCAAAAGACTCTGTTCCCCCAGAAACTAAGAAAGTACGAAGCTGATCCCTCCAGGCTCCCCTCCGCGGTGCCAGCAGGGTGGTCGCTCCCGGGGTGGGAAGTGCGTACCTCTGGGTGCCCCCCGGAGTGGGCCCTCCCAGGGCTGTCAGTTCCTCCGTCTGCCCTTGTTCGTGTGCCCCTCACCGGCTGTGCCTTCTGCTTTCAGGATGGCAAGAAGAAGGTGGCAGGGGAGCTGGAGAAGGTGAGTCCATCCCTGACCACAGGGTGGGCCAAGGCAGGCCGGGAAGGGGGAGGCAGGCCGGCAGGCAGAGCCCGCCTCTCCCCACCCCTGCCCTGTCTCCAAGGCGCTTTAGTCTTCTGGTCCAGCCTCTGCTCCCCCACTGACCGTCGGGGTCTACTAGAGGGGGGAAGGAGCTTGGAGGATGCCCTGATCCCCAGGAGTCAGAAAGGACAGGCCCCCCCTGAGCCACCTCTGTCTCTTCTCTGTTCTCCCTGCGTCCCTGCTGCCCTGGCTCCGGCGCCCCCAGCTGAAGGAAGACACTGAGTTCCAGGAGTTCCTGTCGGTGCACCAGAAGCGGGTGCAGGCGGCCACGTGGGCCAATGATGCCCTGAGCACCGACGCCTCCAAAGGGAAGAGCCGGCCAGCCAGCGACTACCTGAACTTCGACTCCGACTCGGATTCCGGGCAGGAGAGCGAGGAGGAGAGAGCCGGGGAGGACCAAGGGGGTGAGCAGCCGTGTCCTGTGTGTGCCGTGGGCTGGTCGGGCTGACGGACCCTGGGCAGCCCTCTCTGGGACCAGGTGCTGCCCTCGGGCTCACTGTGGTGGGGGTGACTGTCCTGCCCTCAGCTCCCTCTGCCTCGAGCCATCCTGGTCCCTTGTTCATCCGTTTAGTTGGTCACTCAGTGACTACCGAGCACCGACAGCTGCCAGGCACTGCTGTGGGCACCGGGGACGTAGCTGTGAGCAGAGGACAGAGCCCAGTGCCCTAGAGCTGTGGGCAGAGAAGCAGTGGGCAGACAGCCCGCTCTGGGTGCGTCAGCCTGACGGGCTGCTGTAGGGAGAAGCAGAGGCGTTATCAGGGAGGGCCTCTTGGAGGAGGTGAGGGGGCAAGCAGTGTCCACAGAATGGGGGCCGAGCAGTTCAGGGAGCAGTTGCTGTGCAGAATAGGAAATGCTGCCTTTGAGGTCGCGAGTCGAGGCTGGCTTAAGACCAGAGGACGTGACCGAACGGGGATTCGGCACCTGGTAAGGCCTCAGTGCGAGGTTCCACAGGACTCGTGGGACTCGGTGGGACTCAGGCAGGGATGAGGAAGGGAGGGGGTTCTGTGCAGGGAGCAGCATCGCAGAGGCGGGGAGGACATGGGCCTGGCGACACCGTGGTCCCGCTGGCTGAGCAGTGAAGCGGAGCTGGAAGGAGACATGGTTGGCCTACACAGACCCGAGGAGGAAGAGTTGGGGTTTCACCCCGAGCACCCAGAGTCCACCGGGGGTGTTAGCAGAGAGGGGCCATCTGGGCGTACTCCAGGATGGCTCCATGGCCCAGTGGTTAAGGCAGCCGGATCCCACATGGCCAACCGTGCGGTTCAAATTCCAGACCTGGCGACTCGAAAGACATGCCAGGCGTGCGTGCCCAAAATTCTGAAAGCGGGGAGAGGTGGAGGAGGAGGAATTGCAGCGTGACTGTGACCCCCTCCTTCTGTCCCTGCCTCTCTCTGGCACGTGCACGGCCTGTGACGCGCACGTGCACACGTAAACAAACACGTCCTGTCGGCGGCCATGTGAAGAGTGGGTCGGGAAGGCTCCGAGTTCCTGACTGGGGCCCGCGGGATACCCAAACCACTGGAGCCTCGAGCCCTTGGCATCACTTGTCGGAGGACTTCCTGGGGCTGCCGCTGGGCAAGGGTCTTGGTGCGTGTGGTCCCACGGGCCACTCCCCAGGGATCCACCTGCCCTCTGCTGCTCCAGGCGCTGGCTCGCCCACAGCTCTCTCTAATCCCAGCCTCCCCGTTTTCCCAGAGGAGGAAGACCCCCAACCAAAGGCAGCCGTGCAGAAGGAACTGTCAGACATGGACTACCTGAAATCCAAGATGGTGAAGGCCGAGTTGTCCTCTTCCTCGGAGGAGGAGGAGAGTGAAGACGAGGCCGTGAACTGTGACGAGGGCAGTGAGGCTGAGGAAGAGGCTTCCACCACCGCCCCAGCCCAGCAGGGCAGAGAGCCCCAGGGGGCCTGCCAGGAGCCAGGCACTCCCGGGAAGAAGACACCGCAGGAAGCCAGAGCCAAGGTGCGTGTGGGCGGCCCCGGGGAGGAGGCCCACGCCTGTGCGTGCCGTGGTCCCTTAGCCCCTCTGCTGGGACCAGTAAGCCAGAGCGACCATGGAGCTTCCAGAACCTTTAGTTCCCAGCCTGACCCAGGCTCGCCTGGAGTCTCTGACCCAACCTCTTACCGCTAACCTGGGGAGGCTGCCTGCCTTCCAGAGCAGGGCAGAGCGCGCTGGGTGGGGGAACCGCAGAGATGGGAGCTGGTCCTGGAGCCTGCCGTGTGCGAGTGACTGAGCGCTCACCGTAGGCCTCGCTGGGTCTCATCGCACTCTCGGGGGCAGGTGTTCCTGTTCTTCTCACAGGCGAGGAAGCAGGCCCCGAGGAGGGGAGCCATTGCCCGAGGAGGGCTGGGAAGTGGGATCAGGGCTCCAGCCCAGGCCTGCTAAGTCCAGAGTATAGACCTGGGTGCTCCCCGAGGACAGCCGCCTCATCTCCAGCCGCATGGGCAGTTCGACACCTGGTGTAGGTCCCCTTCCCTCATATCCCCGCGAGGCCCCTTCCAAACATACGTCTCAGGTCAGCCCTTTCTTCTCATCAGACGTGAAGGGAGGCCTCGGCCCTGTTTTCTCCTTCCTCCTCTTCCGTCCCCCTCCCTCCACACCTTGTCTTTTTTTCCAGAACAGACTGTATTTCAGAGAGATAGACTAGGGCGCAGTCAGAGTTCCGGTTCAGACCCCAGCTGTGAGATTTAGCAGCTGTCTGGGTGAAGTACACCCCGTCACTCGGCATAGCCCTGATGGCTGAGCCGGTTACCGACCCTGTGCCGATGGGCGCTGGAGGTCAGGAACATGGAACTCGTGCCCAGCAGGGTCTGTGGCAGCGTGTCTTAAGCACGTTCCTGTCCCTGCCTCCTTCCTCAGAGTCCCCACCCTCGTCCGAGCCTGGGTGACTGCCGTGCCGTGCTGCGGGGGATAAGCTATATCCCAGCTCTGTCGGCTCAGGGCAGGCCTTGCTGGAATACGAGTTCAAATCTGGGCCGGTTGTTCGGTTGCCAAGGAAGTTACCAGAGACTGGTTTTCCAGAGGAATCCAGAGCACTGGGAAATGATCTGACCCACAGTCGCTAGGGGGTGGTTAGGAGGATTCGGCAGGACGGCGGCGTCAGCCTGGTGTGTGCCACTGTCCGGTCAGGAGTGACAGACCTCACCGTGCCTTAGGACCGGCTCCGCACCCTTCCTTCGAGCCCTCCCGGTAGGGACCCCGGGGGCCTGTCCACAGCTGCTGGGCTCTGGTCCAGCCTCAGCATGGGCACACTGGGGGCTCGACAGCTCCCACCTCCACCTTCGTCCACGACCCATGCAGGGACATGCTAGCAGCCGGACCACTCCAGCCTGGAGGCATCCTGATCTCCACAGCTGGCTCAGGAGCTCACTCGGCTCTCTCTGTTTGTTCTTTGTGATCACTCAGACAGAGAAACCTGCGAATCAGAGGGAACCGACCACCCCCCACACCGTGAAGCTGCGGGGAGCCCCGTTCAACGTCACAGAGGTACGTGCTACCGAGGGCGAGGGTGAGGAGCCCCCGCAGGAGCCCGAGACAAGGCTGCAGATGCCATGGGGGCATCAGGTTCAGCTGAGGTCACAAGCTGGAAGGAAGGGGCCCATGGGGCCTAGAAATAAGATGGGCATTGTTGGGGTCAGGAAACAGGCCTCCATTAAGGTACAAGAAGACCGATTTTTATTTACTGTTCTCTACACCAGAGGAGGGGTGACTTTTGATAAGAAGTGAAGAAAAGGGGGTGACTGGCAAATATGGAGGGCCTTGGTGGTCAGCATGGTCTGTTACAGCTTCTGGCCCTGCTGTGATAGTGGGACACAGCCTTAGACACCGATGAGTGAGTGGGTGCGGCTCTGTTCCAATAAAACTTTATTTACAAACGTAAGTGGTGGGCCAGAATTGACCCCGGGCTTGTAGTTCGCTGACTGAGTCAGCAACAGCAGAGAACACTTCATTTCTCTCCTCATGAAAGTAATAGAAGTTCAGTATAGGAAATTTCAAAGAAAAAACGAATAGTGTAATTAAATAAATGACATAAAAATCACTTTTTTTTTGGAGACATTTTTGCTATAGGGCATGTGTACTTGCCAGAAAGAGAGAGACAGAGAGACAGAAAGCAAGAAATCACCCCCTAGAGGGGCCACAATCCCTTTTCCTCTAGTCTCCTCTCAGGATCTTGGGCACACACGCATATACTCCTGGTGTGAGTTTAAGCCACCCGGTCCAGGACTCGAACCGCGGTCGACTGCATGGGAGTCCAGCAACATAGCTATTATGCTGTGCTGATCTTATGCTGACCCCGCATAAGAATCACTTATAACAAAGGCAGCTAACTAAGTTGTTACTTTCATGAACTTGAGGGTGAGAGGGATGCTAGCCAGATGGGACGTCAGTATGCAGGTGTAACGACGAAAGAGTTATCAGACTGTCCCAGGCAAACTCAGGGCACCCTGCCCTGCACCCCTTTATCCCACCTAATGACTGCTGATACATCTGGGTTTACCTTCTTAGACATTGTTTTCTTTGTGAGTAAATATCGTCCAATGTCTTTTATTTTCCAAAAAAAAGTAGGAACTAAGTTTGAAACTCTTCCCCTTCATCACAACGCATCCTCAACATTTGTGCATATATTGGGGCCGGCGGGTGGTGTGGCAGTTGAGGGCACTGGACTCGCACCTGATTGACCGCGGTTCAAGTCCCAAACCTGACAGCTTGCTTTCTCACTTCTCTCTCAGTGTCTCTTTCTCTCTCCTTCTCTCCCCCTCTCTGGTCCGATTAAAACTAAATTTAAATACAAAGTAATTCTTTTTTGGAGAGGTTTTTGCTATCTGGTGTATGCGCTCACCAGCGAGACCGAAAGCAAGAAATCACCCACCCACCCACCCCGGGGGCGGGGGATGGCCACGCCGCAATCCCTTCTCCATTCTCCTCTCGGGATCTTGGGCACACACGCACACATGCCCGGCGTGGGTTTAAGCCACCAGATCTGGGACTTGAACCATGGTTGGCTACATGGGAGTCCAGCGACGTAGCCATTACGCCATCTCCTGAGCCCAATAAAAATAATTCTATAAAGAAAAATCTATACATATGGAATACACTCGACTACAGTCTTATTTTTTATGTTGTATGTCTTCTTGTTCAGGGTACCCTGGGATATACTTACCCAATTCCCTAAACGAGGACATGGGTGTTGTTAATTTGCTACAGAGCACTTGTGCTCACCAGGGAGGGGGAAAATGAGAAAACAAGCCACCAGATCTGGAACTCAAACCACAGTCGGCCATGGGAGTCCAGCACTCAACCACCCTGCCAGCTGCCGGCCCCACTATTACAGTGAATAGTGCAGTTCTTTGACATCAGAGGTCTGCAGCCGTTCTGTCCAGGCCACAGAGCAAGTGTTTCAGGGTTTGCAAGTCAGACTGCCTCCTCCCACAGTCAGTCTTTCTTTCTTTTTCTATCTTTTTTAATTTCAGATGTGCCTTGGTTGAAAGACCATGACACGTCGAAACAAGAATGCAGTGTGTCATTGAACAGACTGTCCTGACAAGGGCTCCCGAGGTGGAGCAGTAAACGAAGAATACAGGATACAGGTCCCTGAGGATAGGCTCGTCCTTCCTTTCCCCGAGAGGAGGCGCATTCCCTTATTACATAGCATGCTGTGTTTCTAGCACCTGAAAAATAGTTTTAGGGAACCAAGTGTTTTGAATTGGATCATTCAAAATTTTAAGTATTGTGGAAAATTCCAAAGGTGGTTAGCCTTACCCCATTTATCTGGTAGTGTTTAGATTTTTGATCACGTGTGGTGACCTGTGCATTACGCATCTCAGTGTTAGGACCCAAAGGGCTTAACCCAGTATCCAAATGAAAATGCTTTCACTTCTGTTTTCTAAAAAATGTGTCACCTTGAAGTAACACGAACAAATACTCATGCGTTAATAATTGGGAAAAAGTTGGATTTTCAACACCCCCCCACCAAGTATAGAGGAAAGATACTTAGGAAAAAAAGATCAGAAACAATACCTTAAAACACTGATGGGAGCAGGAGGTGGCATGGTGATTAAGGCACTGAATTCCAACATGGCCAACTGTGGTTCAAATCCCGACCCCAGTGGCTTGAAAATCTTGGCAGGTGCATGCACCCAGAATCCCAAGAAGAGAATGGAGAAGGGACTGCAGCATGGCCATCTCCCTAGGGGGGGATTTCTCACCTTCCCTCTCTGTCTGTCTCTCTTTGGCAAGCGAACACACCCTATAGCAAAAATCTTAAAAAAATCAAAAATTAAAATATTGTTTTAATTTTATAGTACCCATTTCTTCTCCTATTTCTTTTTTGGATTTTTTTATTGTGTCATTTGACTCTCTGGTGGGGAAAATAGGCATATTATTTAAAGGAAAGAAAAGCCATAAAGGATGAAACTTAATGTGATTCTTCTCGATGGAGGAACTTGCCCCACGTGTGTTTATAGGGTTTTACTTGGTTATTAAATGAATGAAGTGAAAATAGTTTTTCTTCTTACAGAAAAATGTGACGGAATTTCTGGCTCCCCTGAAACCGGTGGCCATTAGGATAGTGAGAAATGCTCACGGGAACAAGACAGGTAAGATCCAGGTGCTGTGGGCGGTCGAGGGGCCGGTAGTACAGACAGGTCAGGGTAGTTGAATAGAGGAGAGGTTTTTGTTTTAGTTTTGGAGAGGTTTTTTTTTGCTATAGAGCGTGTGCGCTTGCCAGATAGACAGAGACAGACAGAAAGGGAGAAATCACCCCCAAGGGGGGATGGCCACGCCACAGTCCCTTCTCCTCCATTCTCCTCTCGGGATCTTGGGCACGCACATGCACCCAGCATGAGTTTAAGCCACTGGGTCCGGGACTCGAACTGCGGTTGACTACGTGGGAGTCCAGCGACATAGTCATTACCCTAACTGCTGGTCCCAATGGGGGAGAGTTTTTAAGGCAACCACTTTTTTTTATTGTTGTTAGAGATTTTTGCTCTAGGGCATGTGTGTTTGACAGAGAGACAGAGAGACGGAGAGACAGCACGAAATTAGCCCCCAGTGGGGATGGCCATGCCGCAATCCTTCTCCATGCCGGGAGTCATTCTGCAATGTCCCCTGCGGAAGAACTGAAGAGCAGGAGGGGCGGGCACCTCATTAAAGACAGTGGCTCAGCCAGGGTGCAGGGACCCTCTGGGGCTTCGAGCAGAGGAGGGTCTTGGGGTGGGCTTTGGCTGTCCTCCAATGAGGGTCAGCAGTGGGCTGACCTCGGGGCAGCTATGGAGGAGCAGGGAGAGGCCGGGGGATGTTCGTGGGGCTAGATGAGATGGCTCTGTGCGGGGCTGGAGGGGAGGGGAGAGACCGTGAGTGACCCCATGGTGGCAGCAGAGAACCTGTGGGCTTTGGGCCAAGTCACAGCACTGGTACTGACCCGCCATGTGTCCTTGGGCATGTCACTGAGCTGCTCCGGGGAGGTGCAGAATGGGCCCTGCATGCTCCCAGGTCAAGGCCCACCAAGGACAAGAATGGGGAGGCCTCTCCTGCCTAGGTAAAGGCTGCCCTCCATCCCCGTGCTTGTGGTTGGTCGTTCGGGGCCTCAGGACCCCCTGGTGCTGAGCTAGGTCATAGCACTGCCACTTCTCCGGAGAAGTCCGCAGAGCAGGCACTGGGCAGGGATGGGGCGAGACAGGAGGGAGACGGGGAGGCCTCCGTGTGTCTGACTCCTGGGCAGGGATGGGGCGAGGCAGGAGGGAGACAGGGAGGCCTCCCGTGTGTCTGACTCCTGGAGTCCAGCATCTCTGTCTGCAAACCCCGGCCCTGGGTTCAGAGCTGTCCCTGCAGAGGGAAATGTGGAGGTGAAGGGAGGGTGTCTTTTTGTTGGGGCTTTGGCAAAGGTAGAGCCCCCCCCCCACAGTTCTGCACCCCACACAGAATGGTGCTCCTCCAGGGCGTGTGCACAAGGCCTGCGTATTTGACCTCTGTCACTGTCCCCTCTCAGGGTACGTCTTCGTGGACTTCAACAGTGAGGAGGAAGTGAAGAAGGCTCTAAAGTGCAACCGGGAGTACATGGGTAAGGACGCCCGGGCCGGGTATCATCCCAGTGGGTGCCAGACACGCCCTGGCCCTAGGACACAGCAGCCAGCACACAGACCCACGTGCCTGGCCTTGGAGCCAACCCGGAGTGAACATGCAGAGAGGCAAGAGGCGGGCTGTGACCCGGAAGGCGGATGTGAGGGGCAGCTGTGGAGAGCGCAGGTAGGACTCAGGGAGGCTCGGGTGGAGGGGGCACCTTAAGCTGGTTATGCTGCTCGGGCCTCCCTGAAGGGGTGTCGTGCAAAATCCTGGAGTCTAGGAAGCAGCTGCGGCCACACTGGGCGAGGCGACCAGTCAGGGCGACAGCAAGTGTCAGTTCTGGATTAGGAGATCCGAGCTGTGTCCAAAGGCGTATTTCGTTGGTTTGTTTTTTCCTTTTTTGAGATTTTTGCTATAGGGCACATGCATTCTCCAGACAGAAAGCAAGAACTCACCCCCTGGGGGATGACCACACCACAATCCCTTCTCTATTCTCTTCTTGGGATTTTGGGCATGCATGTATATGTCCCTGGTGTGAATTTTCACCCTCCAGGTCTGGGACTTGAACCATGGTTGACTATGTAAGAGTCCAGTGACATAACCATTACGCCATCTGCTGACCCCAGTTTCTGACCCATCTCTGGCATGGGCTTGTGATTCTGCTCCAGCCAGGACCTTCACAAGGCCCTGAATTGTGCTAGGGACGCTGTGAGCAGGGCAGGGACAGGTGTTTACTGAGCACCTGGGAGGCTAGTGATAATCACAGATCAATCGGACACACCAGGCCCGTGAACAGCATCTAGCCGGTGATTGTCCAGGCCGGGCTGTCACAGCAAGTGCCCAGCATCTGGGGGCTACGTCGGTGACCCAGGGATGACCCAGGCAGGCTGCTTCAGGGTTGCAGCCAAACTTGGAGGGCAAGCAAGATTTGAACCCTCAGGTTCCGGCTAGGCATCAGCACAGGCTGCCACCTGCCCGCAGAGCTTAGTGTGGGTCACACCAGGTCCAGCCACCTTGGCCACAGTGTTCAGAAGGCAGCAAGGATGGGTTTGGAATCTCCGGCAAGCCCAAGGCCGCCGTCCCGGAATCC